TAAAGAATATGCTGAAGCAGGTTTACGAACTTTAGTTATTGCATATCGTGAGCTTAATGAAGAAGAGATTAGGTTGTGGGAGGAAGAGTTTCTGAAGGCCCAGACTTCTCTAAATGTGGATCGAGATGCAATGGTAGATGCAGCTGCTGATAAGATTGAAAGAAACTTAATTCTCCTAGGTGCTACGGCCGTCGAAGATAAACTACAGAAAGGGGTCAATATAAAACTTGCTATCTTGTTGTTTCCATCTCATTTGCTATTTTCCAGGTTTTGTAAATTTCAAGTTAATGTGTGTACATTGCTAACGACTCTTGATCTATGCTTGTATCTGGTGTGAAGGTTCCTGAATGCATTGACAAGCTTGCAGAGGCTGGAATTAAGATGTGGGTCATTACTGGTGACAAGATGGAGACAGCAATAAACATTGGGTAAGGGTGACATGCTTCATTGTTGTCACATCTTCTTCTTCTTCTTCTTCAGTTCATTTTTAATCTGTAATACAATGCATCCTGCAGATATGCTTGTAGCTTACTTAGAGATGACATGAAGCAAATTGTAGTTACCCTAGACTCTCCAGAAATAAATGAATTAGAAAAACAAGGAGACAAGGAAGCTATTGCGAAGGTACAGAATTCTAAAATTCTTGTTTCATGATTGTCAATTTTATGGTCTTTGATGGGGTCAACTATCTCAGGCTTTGAGTGTGAGCATATCAAAACAAATAAGTGAAGGAAATTCACAACTCCGTTTGTCTAAAGGAAGTTCTATCTCCTTTGGTTTGATAATTGATGGCAAGTCATTATCGTTTGCTCTCAACAAGAATTTGGAGGATTCATTTTTGGATCTTGCAATCAATTGTTCATCTGTTATATGCTGTCGCTCCACACCTAAACAGAAAGCTCTTGTATGTGCTGTCATCATGCCCATTTCTATATCACCAGAAATTTTTTGCTCTAAACTTGTTCAACACCTATATAATCTGACAGTGCTGTTGAAGATGTTCAGGTGACTAGATTGGTAAAAAAGGGAATAGGCAAGACAACCTTAGCAATTGGTGATGGGGCAAATGATGTAGGCATGCTTCAAGAGGCTGATATTGGGGTTGGCATCAGTGGTGTTGAAGGCATGCAGGTCATCTCCACTTTTGCTTCCATTAATATTTTCCTTTCAGGCTTCTTGGAGGTTAAAATAAATCCAAGTATCAAATTCGGCCATTCCTAGATTCTTTCCTGCTATGTTATCAATGGTTAATTAACTGTTTTACTATTTTATTTCCCTTTGAAGGACTTTTATATCTTTGTATATCAGCGCACACAGGCTGCTTTGATTGATAATTTTATGTGAAATAAGAATTAGAAGTATCTAACATCAGATTTGATGGAAGAGTTCAATTATCAACTTGCGTATCTCTCTCTCTCTCTCTCTCTCATGTTTCAGTTAGGGAGCCTAATTATCCATGCGTTTGTGTGTATTGTTTTTTGTCTGATTTAGTGCATAGCCAGTGTGGAATAAGAAGAGATGCTTCAAGAATCCCAAAGAAGGAATGGGAAAACAGGAGTTTTCACAAATCAAACTTCAATATATGATGTTTGACATTTAGCCCTTGTTTGAGCCCCATTTTGGGAGAAAAAATGAATTTTTGAATAGTGTATTGATGGGAAATGTGTGATTAAAAAATAAGGAAAAATTTTCGATTTACGTGTAATATTATTTTATTGAAGAATTAGTGGTTGAAATGATGTCAAAACAAGGTTAAAAATGCATATTTTCAAAAGAATGAGACTCAAACAAGGGCTTAAATTGGATAAGATCAATTGATTCAGTGCGGAATAAGAAGAGATGCTTCAAGAATCCCAAAGAAGGAATGGGAAAACAGGAGATTTCACAAATCAAACCTCAATATATGATGTTTGACATTTAAATTGGATAAGATCATTTGATTTTAAAGACTGAGGGATTTTAAATTATTTTGAAGCTTGATATAATTAAAGATATTATTTAATTCCTTATGGTATATAGTCTGTCATGTACGCATTTTTACGTGCTTGTATCAGGTCTGAGCTAGAGATTACTCTCATCGTTCTTATTTTCCTCGATTCCTAGTCAAAATCCTCCTGAAATCTTGCTATGAGACTTTTTAAAATGCTTGTTTGTAAAATGTCCTCTTTCATTGCCTGGATGCTTATTTTGAAAATTTTGGTTGATATCATATTGACATTCTAATCAGGCTGTGATGTCAAGTGATTTCTCCATAGCCCAGTTCCGGTTTCTTGAGCGTCTCTTGTTGGTTCATGGCCACTGGTGTTACAGACGAATATCTATGATGGTAATTATTTTAATTTCATTTTTCTCCCATTTCATAAGAATTAGAGTGAAATTTGTCAAATTTCTTTATGATGACAAACAGAAATAACTCTTTCAGTTTGTAGCTTGCTATATCTATATAATACTCTAATTTTATTTTCCTACTCTCTTCAGTGGAAGTGGGAAGAAAGACATTTAACGTTAACTTTAGAGTTGTCATTTTTTGGGTCCTTGAAGGCGAAGCCCCCCAAAAAAAAAAAAAATTCCATTACAAAAGCCATTTGCTATGTCAAAGAAAATAATAATAATAAAAAAAAAAAAGTTGTTGAAATTTGTTATTGTCGCCTAATTCTTACATCTTTCTTATGGAACTAGTGCAGATATGCTATTTTTTTTACAAGAACATTGCATTTGGGTTCACTTTATTTTGGTTCGAGGCTTATGCTTCGTTCTCTGGCAAACCTGCTTATAATGATTGGTACATGTCTTTCTACAACGTATTCTTCACTTCACTTCCCGTGATTGCTCTTGGTGTTTTTGATCAGGACGTATCTGCACGACTCTGTCTTAAGGTAATAAACATATATTTCAACTGCTCCATTATTCAACAGAACTTTGATAATAATCTTAACTGTGTAGAAATTTGTTCATTTTCACTAAATTTTCTATTTGCGATCCTCTTGTGTTTTTTTATGACATTAAGATGGATATGATATATATTGTGATTGGCATTTGATGCACAGTATCCTGTGTTATATAAAGAGGGAGTGCAGAACGTTTTCTTCAGTTGGCCGCGCATTCTTGGCTGGATGTTTAACGGTGTTATTAGTTCCATGATCATCTTTTTCTTCACAACAAATGCCGTCGCTAATCAGGCTTTCCGGAGAGATGGTCATGTTGTTGATTATGAAGTGCTTGGGGTTATGATGTATACTTGTGTGGTGTGGACAGTGAACTGTCAAATGGCGATATCTATTAACTACTTCACTTGGATCCAGCACTTCTTCATCTGGGGAAGCATCGCTTTCTGGTATGCATTTCTAGTGATGTACGGTGCTGTGTCTCCTATAATATCTACAACGGCGTACCAAGTTCTCGTGGAAGCCTGCGCTCCAAGTCCTTTTTACTGGCTGGTTACACTTCTGGTCGTCATGTCCTCTCTATTACCATATCTTTCATACAGGACTTTACAAATTCAATTTCAACCTATGATCCATGACATTATTCAAAGACTAAGGTCTGAAGGCTCAGAAACAGAAATTCCTGGGGAGTTGTCTCTTGGAAGCAAGGACAAATTAGCGCTAGTAGAGGATAAATTGAGAGACAGAGAGTCACTGCTACAGTAAAATGTAGCAAAGTTGAAGTCAGTTCACAGTCCTAATGTAGATTCAATGTATTATAGAAGTATATGTAAGATATTTTAACCTCAATTTTCTTCGGGGTTAGTATTTCCTCCCAATTGCTTCAACATATAATAGTTTCTTATGTATAGCCCTCAGGAAGCTAGCAAGTCTCCATGTATGATGTGTTGGGACTTGTTTGTTTGTTTCCTATTGTTGGGCCTACAGCTTATAATCACTACCAAACAAGCACTAAATTACAAAGAAGTGATTAATGTGAATTATGGATTATGCTTTTGTAGATTAACTAGCGAAAAAGACCTTCACCCCTCAAAACTAGAGGTGTTGTAAAGTGGGTCGATACGTCCATGGGCTACATTTGTCTGTAAGCCTGCCTATAAAGGGGCCAGACTGCTCTCTAGCCCACGATCTGAAAATGTTACTGTTGGGCTTGGACAGTTTAGCCTACCATGGCCCAGGACCTGAATTAACTGGGCCTTGTATCTCAATATGATTACACAAATAATTTTAACACTAACAACCATTATAACAAGAAGTCCATCATTTCATCAAGTCCTGCAAAATTGGTCCTAGCTTTTCTTTCAAACAATCTCCCTTGGTGGTCAAAATTTGAAGAGAATCAATCAAACAATTGCATATATGTACAATAATCAACAAAGTTACAATTTTTTATTTTACGTGGTCTACGATTAGACTATTCAATCCTTTATGTCGTGCTTTCTTTTCATTCATCCCGTTACTTAATTATCTGATCACTACACAATTTACAACTTCATATTGACGTGTTCACTTATATCACGGTAATTTATATAAATTGTAGACTTTAATTTTATGCAATATTCAAATTGATTTGGTGTGCTGTTTTCACTCATTTCACTACCTTTCTAGAAAGTCAACCATTTTGGCATGTTAGATTCTCATGAGCCCGAATTTTGCTCCCCAAAGCATATGTATGTAATTCCATTTACAGTCACTTTCTATCGTAATCGCCCTACATGACATATATTTGACGGTTAGTAATTGAATGCATTAATGTAATAATTTTTTTATTGCCTTATGCTTCAAATCATTAACCGTCACTTATGACAATTGCGGTAGTGAAAGACTGCAAATAGCATTATTTATCTAAATTGGCGGCTTCCATTCATAGACTTCCAGAATGGTCAACTGTAATAATCAAATTTGGATGATCATTTTGTTGTTTATTTAATTCAAATGAGATATTATTAATCAATAATAGCGACAAATCAAGTAATTGACATTAAAGTAGTGGAGTAAAATCAGGAAGCCCACGTATGGAGTGACATCGTTAACCGTATTAACCAAGTAAAGCTCCTCCAACTAATACCGTCAAATTCGCCGTCAACACACTTCCTCAGATACATTTTCCCTCCCCAAACCCTCGTATATAAGCATCTTCCTTCATCTCCATTTTCATCTCTCTCTCTATACATACACATAAGACACACAGAAGTGACTGATTGGGACGAAGAATATGAGCAGTGGGCAAGAGGATATTAGTATCTGCCCTAGCTTCAATTGCTATTCAGCTGATGGACTGGCACAAATCGCAGTGAAGGTTACGAAGGAGAACACAAACGATGCCGTGGGGAATGAATATGACAAGGATAATTACGACGAGGATTTTGAGTTTGCTTTTGTACGTGAGAATCAGGAAGTTTTAAACGGCGACATCAAAATCAAGCCGATTTTCCCTATATTTAATCGAGATATTTTGGTGAATAGCGATGAAAAGCGTTTGGAATCTTCTGATCAGGTGGAGGATATTAGAATTCCGTTAAATAAATTATTTATCGAAGATAGTGTTGAGAAGGAGCGTGAGATTCCTTCGTCGTCGTCATCGGAAGCAGATGAATTGGAGAGCGTACCACCGGGAAAGTACTGTGTATGGAGGCCAAAGGTGGCGGAGCCATCGCCGAGCCGATGTCGGAAAAGCAAGTCCACTGGATCCGGTTCGAGGAGGTGGAAGCTGTGCGATTTGATGCGACGAAGCAATAGCGACGGCAAGGACTCTTTCGTCTTTTTAACGCCAAAGCACCGGGAAGAGAAACCGAAGAAGATTGAGAACTCGAAAAAATCAAAAGCGAAAGGAACTGCCCTATACGGCGGCGGCACGCCGGGATCACCGTCAGCTCACGAAGCGCATTATATACGGAATAGAGCAATTAAGGAAGAGAATAAGAAGAAATCGTATTTACCGTACAGACGAGACCTCGTAGGGTTCTTCGCTAATGTCAACGGTTTGGGCAGGAGTTTTGCACCGTCCTGAGAAGGCCGATGGTTGTACCTTCAGTTCAAAGGCGGTACATTATCAAAATCTTTGTTTATTAATTTGAAGTTTTTTTTCCATTTTTATCAATAGTTGAAGATATTTTACCTACAAATATTCGATATTTTGTGGATAATTTAATAATTTATCAATCAAGAACATGTGCAAAGAGAGTAAATTGCAGTTTGTTTCTCGAACTGGTCGGCGTTGGATGGTAAATGCAATTGGAAGAAGTGCACCATTGATTAGAAAAACTTATAATTTAATGGCACTGCGATATTAATGCATGTGTATGTAACTTGGTGAAGTTTACGACTTATGAAACACGACAAAATGAATTTAATAATAGAATGAAAAATTTGGTGACAATAAGCCACTTGCTGAAGAGAGTTGGGGTTTGGTGATAGAGACAAAACGCTGAAGTCAGAGCCGTTTAATTTGATCGGGACAATGTCGAAGAGGGTTGGTAAAAAATAGTCATGTCTAATGGTACTAGGATACGAAGGTCTTTATTTAGGATTGAGATTGGCTATTTCTTTGTACAACTTAGGTTATGTAAATTTAAGAGATTGTAACGTGAATTTTTATTTTTACTGTGACAGAATCAATTATTATCATAACATTTTTTTCATGAGGATGATTGTATGATAAACACAATTGAATTTTTGCATAAAATAACTTTTGAACTACACGAAAGGCGTGAGGATTAGGGCACTTGTAGACATATTTATAAAGACGTAGATTACTTGCATTTTGAATATAAAATCTCTATGAAGCTTCACTATTAGCGTTTTCAATTTTGAATATAAAATCTCTATGAAGCTTCACCATTAGCGTTTTCAAGAAAGCACATGCCACATTAAGTTGTGTTGGGTTTTGTAGCAAGAACTCAATTCAGATATGCAATTATAATCCTTTTCATTGCAAGTTACTTTTTTCTACTAAATTTAGAATAAAACAATTAATTACAAGAATATTTATGTTCATCAAAATTGAATTTATCTTGGTTCCTCTCGACTGACACACGGTTCGAAATCAGCTCAAACGGCGATAAGTTGTACATTCCTCCTATTTGACATCCTTCTTTCCACAAGGGCATTTCCTTATTTTGATTTACTAGCTCCGTTGATTTTTGATTATTTTAGGTGCCACTACAAATTTACTTGCCACTTGCACACGTATATTTTTTATTTGCAGGACAGGACGATGACTCTTTACTCTTTCAAATTAATATTGGCATGTTGTTTCATTGAACAAAAGTGGATGAATCTTAGGTTAACAATAAAGGGGACTTTACTCGAATATTTTATTTCACATGTTTAAGCGTAATTTGCGTGACTTATCTACCAGTCACATGGAAGATATTTTGTGATAAAATATGCAAGGCTGGGATATTAGTGTGTTCAAAGAATAGAAAGAAAAAATAAAAATAAAAATCCTTTCACAATGAGAGAGAGAGAGAGAGAGAGAGAGAGAGAGAGAGGTCTACATGCCTACCTTAATTTCTGGAAAAGGTTGACACCCAGTTCAAAGCTGAAGTGCTTATTGGGCTTGATCAGTCCAATTGACAACAATAGGGTGTAATGTGTTTTGGGAATCTGGGGTAATTTATCATCTCTTTCGTGTGTTTATTAGCAAAATAAGAGGTGGTTAATAATTCTATTAATGATAAGTTAAATTGGTTTTCGTCAAGGGAAAAATTTAGATGGAATTTTAATAGATAAATAACTTATTCGGAGATTATGATATTCAAATGAGACGTTTATATTTTACACAAAATTGGACAGTATCATGAGTTCTACCATAAAAGATTAGTTGCCTATGAAATTAGTCTATAATTGTCACAAAAGTTACCGATAATAGAAGTTCTCATTTTCATATTCATGACGTTATCTATCCAAATTAGGTGAAATGGCGCCTTAATTAGTAGAAATTTGTAGGTGCACCTATCCTCCTCGATGTGGAGTGTCAAATTCATTAGGTATGCATATACTAACTTCACACAGAGTTGGTCGAGACAAGTCCTTTCGTAAGGAGCCCACATATGTTTTATTAGAAATGATCACTCTGAAATCTAGAAAATATGTGTGTAACATGTTTGGCTAAGCCTAAAATGATGGTACCACAAGTATTGTACATGTTAGGCTAAGCCTAAAATTATTATTATTATTATTAATTTTTTTTTTGGCATCTACATAATATTTGCAAAAGCAGTAGGCCACAAAAACATGACGGTACCATTCCTAGTGGAATTAGAAACGGGAAAGAAGTTCCTTCTTCAAGCCTGGAAGGAAGTATTATGACAATAAAATGACAACATCCTACTTGTTTTTCCCTAGTAAAATTGTTTTATTGGTAGGTTATGTAATATGTGGGTTCAATAAAACAATGTATGTCGAAATGATGGCTAAACAACGTTGACATGCTAGAATTGCTAAGGCCCCGGACTGCACATATAAATACCCAACATCCCACATCTTAATTTCCATCTCTTTTTTCGACAAATTGTTAGAATTTTTTTGTGGAAATAAAAATTCCCTTTACTAAATGCATGGAAAATCTCGACGAAACTTTTCCCATTGAGTCCAAATTCATAAATGAGAGTGTTTTACTTGACAATTTGCATGGATTAACAACATCAATGGAGTCTAACAATTCATGTAGATCCATCGTCATCAATGGAAGGTGAAACTCTTGATCTTGCCCAAAATTGAAAACAAATTTATTTGTGGTATTTTCTTCCTATGTACGAGTCTTATATGATTGTTCTTTGCACAGCTAGTGACCGAGTCAAAATTTTCATGGAGGGGAAAAAAAATGTTAAACGGGCAAATACGCATATAATAAAAAATTTTGAAATATTGTGGGACTGGAAACTACCTCACCCATGTCTCGTAAATCTTTTTTATTATACTGTCCAAACATTTACCTGAAGTAATGTCTACATTTCTGTTCAATGTTTCCAGACTATTATTTGACACATTGAAAAATAATATTTTTTCAAGAAAAAAAAGGGATTTACTTAGATTTAAAAATGAAAATGAAAAGGTGAAAAAACATGATGAGTAAAATCGTTATGTTCATTATTGTTATCCTTATTCACTGGCAAAACCATTGAAATGCAGGGAAGCAGATAAAATAAAGACAGGCACTACCACTGGAACCAAGTTTTAAGGATAGGACCTTATCCTTCACCGATCACCGGTGCCCCGCATATATTTTATTCAATTTATATCCCCCAATTTTTTTGTAATTTAATTTGTTTCAACATCACAAATTTTATCTGGACTTTATGGTTTGCTTAAGAGTTAGATATTTAACAAAGCTAGGTATTGTTTACTAAGTTCGACTCTGATGTTAAACAATATGAAATTAGTCGGAAGTTGTTTACAATTGTTTTAAATTATAAATAAATATAATTGAGTGATGAATAAGTCCATGAAATATATGAATAAAAAATAGTTTAATCGATTAAACAAAGAACGAAAAAATATATAGTGAAAATTTAAATGATCTATGTCAGCAAGAACCGAGCGTGCAAATGAAAAGTTGAAAACTAACTTGGTTCATTTTAAATGTTAGGGCCAACTTACTACTGGAACAATGATTCGAAAACTAATAGTGCATAAAAATGAATAACGATATCTAGTATTAGTCTAAATTCTACATTGTACGATTCAATTAAATGAGTCATCTGACTTTGCATTTAAAAATGACTCCGTCATTTAATAATTGCCACATAGATTGGCGCTTAATACCAATGGAAAGCATTACTCATAAAAAAATAAACCAATAATATCCATTCAAAGAGGCATGACGATTGGCCATTGCATGCACGTTCATACAAAGGCCTATCACAAAACTCTCCCATATCCCATGAGAAAATTAAATCTCTAGCGTCCAAACTTGATCTGCAACATTAGAAGCTGTTATTTCATCAGCTTTCACTTTCATTATCCAATGCAGCCTATATCCTTAAGTGGTTGAGTTATAAAGGCAGAAAGTTGTATGGTGCGGTGCACAATGTCGACCGTTAACGGGTGCGCTCTTACTTCTCTCATTCCCACCGCACAATCTTCTTCATCCCTCAAGAGACGTCCCATCGTAGTCTGTCAAGCGTTGTCTAATTCTCCTCCGAGTCTCATTCAAAACAAGCCTGTTTTTGCTGCTCCTGCTCCTATCATCCACCCTATTTTGGTACTATACTTTATTAACTAACTATCCCAATTGACTCGATAATGTTAAGAAAAAGAGTCTTGTTCGTTATAGTGTTCAATGCTGAGACAAGACATCAATTTTTGATAGTATAAAATTAAAAATTTTAATAACTGTCAAGCGTTGTCTAATTCTCCTCCGAGTCTCATTCAAAACAAGCCTGTTTTTGCTGCTCCTGCTCCTATCATCCACCCTATTTTGGTACTATACTTTATTAACTAACTATCCCAATTGACTCGATAATGTTAAGAAAAAGAGTCTTGTTCGTTATAGTGTTCAATGCTGAGACAAGACATCAATTTTTGATAGTATAAAATTAAAAATTTTAATACAACCTTAGACTCGGGGTTGTTTTATTTTTTCAGAGGTTGTTTTTGTGCATGTGTATTAAAATTGAGAAATTGCAGACGGAAGACATGGGGAAGGAGTACGAGGAAGCCATTGCTGGACTTCAGAAACTTCTCAGGTTTGTAATGTTTAACATCTTTGGATAAAGTGGAACCCACATTAGCCATGTTGGGTTTTTCCTTTATTTTCAATTTGATTTTGCAAGAAAAGATTAGCAGTGACGATGGATCGAATTACAACATTTTATTGAGAAGAATTTCATCTTTATTAAGCTTGAATTTGATGCAGTGAGAAGGGAGAATTGGGACCAGTGGCTGCAGCAAAAATTGATCAAATTAAAGCAGAATTGGCAACAGCGGACAAAACTACAGTTTCCAGCACTGTTGAGCAGCTGAAAAATGGTTTTGTCCACTTCAAAAGAGAAAAATATGAGTAAGCTACTCGAACCAAATTAAGCAACAAATACAAACTAAACGTCATTTTTAATAAATTTGGAATTTTGGTCTACGTCTTTTGGGACATATTATGAAGGAAAAATGAACAAAGATTTTTAAGAAAGAAGGACGAAAATCTAATTTTTTCTTTTTTGCCCAATTTAGGAAAAATCCAGCCTTGTATGGTGAACTTGCCAAAGGCCAGAGTCCAACGGTACATAATTAATTATACAGTAGCTCATTGAATATTTCTGATTTAGAACTACATTTTTTTTTTTTTGGCCTTCAATTTATCTTAAAATAATTGATGAAATGATTCAACATGGAAGTATATGGTGTTCGCTTGCTCTGATTCGCGTGTCTGCCCATCACACGTCCTGAATTTGCACCCGGGAGAGGCATTCATGGTCCGAAACATTGCCAACATGGTCCCTGCCTATGACAAGGTTACTTTAAAGTTTTTGTAATAAGTTACTTTCACTTTTTTTTTTTTTTTTGAAGAAAAAAATGGATTTGAATATTATGTGTTGCAACAGGTCAGATACTCTGGAGTTGGGTCTGCCATTGAGTATGCTGTTCTGCACCTCAAGGTTGATACAAATTACGAAAATTTTACACTTTTTTGTGATAATTTCTTGTTTATTTGAAATTTAGAAAAAATTCGAAACCTGGGATTCTCAGAAGACCAACAAATGAAATATTCTTTGACAGGTCAAGGAAATTATAGTCATTGGACACAGTGCCTGTGGAGGAATCAAGGGGCTCATGTCTCTTTCAGATGATGGTTCCACCTCCACGTAAGTCCAAAAATGGATTTCTCACTTTTAAAGACGAGGCTTTTGTCTCACACGGTTGATGCTCGCAGTGATTTCATCGAAGACTGGGTGAAGATCGGTTTACCTGCAAAGGCCAAGGTAAAGGCCGAGCTCGGTGATGCACCTTTTGCTGATCAGTGTGGACTATGTGAGAAGGTAAAAGATGAATTGTTGGAGAACATCAATTTTACAATTCGTATGCTCTTTTTCATCTTTTTTCGATGCGAAATTTATCAAACATGCTTTTATTATGGAAAAATGCAACAGGAAGCAGTGAACGTGTCACTTGGGAACCTGCTGAGTTATCCCTTTGTTAGAGAAGGATTGGTGAAGAAAACTCTGGCACTAAAGGGTGGATACTATGATTTTGCTAAAGGAAGTTTTGAACTGTGGGGGCTGGAATTTGCTCTTTCTCCATCACTCTCTGTATGAACAAATTAATCTCTGTTCCCCATCCAGATTTTGGCGTCAAAATTGTAATCTTAATTAATAATAAGTGTAATGGAGAACAATTGTGTCTGTCTGGAGAGCAAGTGTTGCATCCCAGTTATATTTATTAAACTTTTTTGGTTTTTTAGGTAAAAGATGTGGCCACCATACTGCATTGGAAGCTCTACTAAAATTCTGCAAACATACATGGGGCTCTCTCATAACATAATGCTTGTTCTTACGTTCAAGTATCAATAAATTTCTCAATTTTTGTTCAATTACAACTAATTGTTAGTGCTTACGGGTGACATTCAGCCCCTATTCGGTTTGGCAGAAAAAGTAGATCAAGAAATCAAAATCAAAATCAAGAACTCATTTTAATCACATATTCTTAGGATCCACAACTTATCAAAAAGTAGATACAAAATCCTAAATCAAAATCAACAATTAATTTTAAT